TTGAAGAACTTTTTAACAAAGTAAAAACCATAAAAGAAAATAAATATCAAGAAAAATAATAAATAGTGAAGAAAGAAAATAGAAAAATAGGAAATAAAAAATAAAAAATAGAAATAGAAAGGAAAAGAAAAGAAAAGAAAAGAAAAGAAAAAGAAAAAAGAAAAAGAAAGTTGACAGAACAAGCAGAAATGGCAAAATTAACTTGTTTGATTAGAGAAAGATCAACAACTACATTTATAGTGACTGGAAACCTCTTATGGACTTTTTGCTGAAAAAAGAGCAAAATGAACTTGTGATTTATGGGTTTGAAGATTAGAAAGGGTAGCTTATGGAAAGAAGGAAATTATGTTGTAACCTTAGAGAGAGGGGGTAAATTATAAATGCATTTATAACCACTGTCAAAAAGATCAGAAGCCGCTTCCTTATAATCTTTTCTTTTTGTCTTTCTTCTTTTCTATTTCTTTTTCTATTTTCTTTCTTCTGTTCTTTATTTTCTTTGTTTCTTTTCTAATATTTGTATTGTTTTACCTTGTTAAAAATTTCTTCAATGAAATTATATTAAAAAGAAAAAAGAAAAGGGGTTGAGAGAGAGGGCAGGCAAAAAAGTAAGCCTCTCCATTACAGAACTCACTGGCTGAGTCTTAGCAGTCATACGCTACACTATTTCAATGCTGCTTGGCTGCAGCACTGAAGCCAAGCTCACTGCTGCCTGACTGGTCAATGGGACAGGGGCCAATAATGTCCGGATGTTTGCCCGTCATTTTGTGCCACAAAGTATATAGAATACCAACTGCTTCCTACTGGAAATTGATGGGGATTCTGCATTTCCCAAATTGTAGCTTTTGTCCCAGTTATGTGAATCACTGATGAAGAGACATGAGCAGCTAACTGTTTTAAACTAGGATTACATATCAATTTAAAAACAAATTCAGTTGTCTTCTGAACCATAGTGTGCTTGCATTTAGGTTTGTACTTATGTCCTCAGTATAAAAAATGTGTACAGAAGCACTGATATCTATATATTGCTGATTCCCTCCTACTTCCTGCCTAGAGTCAGAAACTATCGACAGTAGCTATTTAAAAGCCAACTATGACTTCTGTTTCTAAACCCCAAGGTGGGTCAATAAAATGACCTTATTACCAGGGTCATTGTGTCCTTCTAATGCACACTCACCTATGTTATGTGCATTTTGTTTTAATAGGAAGTGTTGCCAAGTAACTGTGTAAATCCAAATGGCAGAATTGGTTAATTATAATAAATTATTACAGCTATGGCACTTGCAAGTAATTTTCTTTTATGATGGGGAAGACATTGAAGCAATTGCAACACTTAACAGTAAACTGGGTGGAAAAATGCTTTCCACTGATCTGTTGAAATCATAGTCTTTAGAGAAGATCACCCAGTGGAATCTCTGTATCTGGATTCTTAGGTATAGAACAGAGAACAGAACCATAGCATCATAATTGACCAAATTTGGGGGAGTGCATGTTGTAAATTGAATTGAGTTTTTAATCACCCTTTCTTTACCAGAATTCATAACAATTCTGTGACTATCCTGGTTTATGCATGATGAGTTCTAACATTAGGTAGAGTAAGCTGCTGCTGCTGCTGTCTTAAGCAGCAGATGCTAAACTTTGAAGGCAACTATTGATTCAGACTGCCACTACCTTTAGGTAAATGCTTTGCTTTGTTGTAGCTAGCAGCAGGCATGAAGGCAGTCTTAAGCTTGTCAGATAGATACAGATACAGATATACACAGACACATTATAAAAAATAAAATAAGGGTCCACAGTGGTCTAAGCAGGGTTAGTGTCACCATGGACTGTAATAATAAACTTTTTGAAGTATTCCTTGTACTTATCATTTAGAATTTTAGTAATTTATGCACAAAATAATGTTATAATTTACTTGTTTAGCTTTAAGTATCTAACCTTTTAGCATTTTAGTACTTGTATTTTATTGCTCTATTTATCAGTTTTATTATGCTGTTGCATTCCTGGTCAGTAATTGTAACTGAACTGAGTCACCATGGAGAGACTGACTCAGCCAACTCCTGCATCCCATTCTATATCTGTGTTACTTCCTTTGGTCATTGTGGGGGTAAAAAAAACCAAACCAAACCTCAAGAAGCTGCCTAGAGAAGCTCCATTCTGTAGGACCAATCTAAGTTCTCATCTCTGTGCAAGTAAACTGGTTGGGTTAAGACCAGGAACCTATAACTAACCCAGTATAGTTTGGAATTCACTGGGGACTGATTCTAACTTAGAATGACCATGTTATTGAGTAAGCCACACAAAAATTGACCAGGATTAAAACCAACCAATCTTAGCATGTTGTGTGAATTTCAACTGAGTTATACAATAAAGTAGTTGAAGATCTTTTGTATTTCAGTTGTGTTGTTGTAATAAAAAAGGAAAAATAATGGTATGATTTATAATTATGATTGAACATGCAAAGACAAGTATTTTTCATTATTAGACAAAAGAAAACATCCATCACTGGATGTATTCTACGATTAAATTATGTGCATTGAGTAATGTAATAGTCTTCTTTTGCAGTTTTACAAAATATGTGTAACACTGTTCTAATAGTAGTGTTCCAGTGGAAAAGGGTTGGGCTACTTATAGACTGTGAGTACTTGATGTGTTCTCTGGAACTCCTTGCCATCTTGTTCAAGTCTTCTCTTCAATGATAGCTCAGTACAACATCAATTATCCAGGCTTTAATACTAGAAGAGAGAGACCAGGCAACCTATTTCTTCCAGCAGTTTCTCCCAGGTTAGGATTGGAGGATGTGGGGATGAAGTGGTCATGATCTATAGGAATTCCATGTTACTAATCAGTTGCAGCATGTGACAGTCTGCCAGTTTTAAGTCTTTGCTACTGCATTTGGGTGGCTGGGACTATGTAGGAATATTGTTAATGTACCATCCATCCTCAAACTTTTTCTTGAGCTAGCTGAGTTAATCTTGGTTCTGATGCTGGTTTACCCTAGGCTCCTTGTCAGTGAATTTCAATGTCCACTTTGACTTTGCCCGGTCAGGAGTGTCTTAGGATTTTATGTCCTCCATGACAACCATATCCTAGCTGCTATCTGGCCCCATGCATACAACCACCCTGGATCTGGCATTCTATTTGTGTGGAGCTGATAATGTGAATGTGGCACAGCTTTCTGTGACTTCTAACATGGACAAATTACTCCCTGATCAGTCTTAAATTGGTGGCTGGTACAAACTTCTGAAGGTATTGATTAAAAGGGCTTAACCCTGGTATTCGATGGATCCAGATGGTTTCTTGCATGCACTTGGGGAATTTACCATCACATTTGTCAGTACTACTGTTGAAGTGCTTCCTGATCTGTGGAATGTAGAGATAGCACAGATGAGTAACACTATTGCTCCTAAATGCTTTCTTCCCCCTTGCAGAGCTAAATCAGCTCCTTTACTAGTAAGCTGAATGTGGATGGGAAATCAGCTAGAAATGGAGGACTCTTGAGACAGATCAAATTGAGTTAGGAGTAAGGTCCATTTAAATTCCTATATTATGGTAACAGAGGTGACAATGAGTGTATATTTCTTTGTATATTTGCTATATCTCCTCAGAACAGGTTGATGTTGCTTTTCTGAACTATGAGACAACTCTTTAACCAAAATGTTGCAGGGAAACAAGCTGGAACAGTTGTGACCAATCATGGATAAATTCAGTCAGTTCCACCTCAGGTTGGGACAGGATGACATATGGATCTAATTTCAGCAATCACTCATCTTGCAATTATGAATTCTTTTCAGTTTGTTGAACATGAAGTTATTAATAGGTTATGAAAGATGTACTCGTCCAATGATTAAGGAAGGTATCAATGCTTCCTTCAAGACATGTATTAAAAACATTTTTCACAATCCAGGAATTCCGTGCAGTCATAAGGTAGTCTCGAACATTTCTTTCCTGGAAAAGGTAACTGAGAAAGTGATGGCTCTGCAACTCCAGATGCATCTAGGTGGTTCTTATTATCTGAATCCATTTCAGTCGGATTTTCAATTAAGATACGATATTGAAACTGCAACTCTGCTACTTCTGGACCTCTCAGTAGCTTAATACTAATCATGGTATCTTTTGGACTGTGTAATCAGATTGGGCCTTGGAGGCAGTCTTTCACAGTGATTCTGGTCTTTGTGTTGGAAGAAAGCTGAGAGGTTCAGTCTTGAGTATTTGAGGTTTGATCAAACAAAAGTGGAAATATCTCGCATGCAACTGAAGATGCAGGTTTGCATGGAGAGTAGATATTTCGCTGTAGAAATAAGGCTGAATATCACTGGAATTGAAGTTGCACTAAAAGCCATCATTTATGATGTTACTCCTACATGGAATAATACTGCAGGAATACTCATTCACCACAAATCAACTGTGAAATTGTTCACTCCTAGTTGGCTCTTCTCAATAATTAGAAGTTGAAATCTTACAATTTTGCCTGAATGTGAATTGGAAATCCTGACATTGCTTCTTTTATAAGCCAGGATTTATAAACCAAGAACAAATTCTTTGACATCCTAGCTTTTTTCCATGAAAATGTGTATCACATATTTTAACAAAACAGCAGAGGTCCAAGGATAGGGTCATGAGTGTTCCCAGTGGAGAAATTTGACAGGAAGAAAACTATAAATAAGAGATTAGGAGTTACTTGCAAGGTCACACATTTCTTCCCCACCCCTCTCCTATTCAAGTTTCATTTTTCCTTCTTTGCTTCAGCTCTATTATATCTGCACTGGGACTAAAGCTAAGCACAGCCAAATTTATTTCATTCCCCCACTAGTGATTTTTAGCGTGTTTTGGAATCATCCAACCATCATTGTAGTTATATAACATTAATGAGGATAGGTTTTAACCCATGCATGATGGCAGGGTGATACAGTACTAGAAAGACTCTGTAAGACATTATTGGGGAAATTGTCTTAATCACATTTTTCAAATCCATTTGCAAATTTTGATTAAAATCTGGGCTGACTCATTATACAATTGCTATATTGTCACCCTCTGGGGGAGATGGGCGGCATATAAATTTAATAATGAATAAATAAAATATTGGAATAGAATATTCAGAATCTATTATAGATACAATCAATATTCCCACTCTCCCATTGTATTTCCATTAAGCTTTCCCCTTACCATCAGTTTATTGGATCAGTAAATTATTTTAAATTATTGGATCTGTAAATAATTTATTAGACTGAGAAAAATTATTTAAGGAAAAAAAAAAACAGGAAGCCAACCTTTCCTATTCTGGTAAGTACTAATAAAATAGATGGATATACATAATGCCTCAATTAGATATCAAATCAAACCTTGGTTTAAAAAGCTGAATTACCTTGGATAATAATGTTTGAATTAGTAATCCATGGTTTGGACAGCAAACTAAAACTGGGAATTATCTCAGCTGGTTTTTGTTGCCATAGTTTTTGCTAGTTGCTAGTATTTCATCCTGAAAGGTTGGATATAAAATTAACATTTGCTGTGTTGTTTGAACCAATAAATTGTGCTTTGCTTTTAGAACAGGGCAGCTGCATTGTTTGACAACAGTGTCAAAATGACAGTCACAACAGGGCAATAGAAGCCCTGCCCCTTTTTACAGTACATATTAAAAGGGGGTGGGGATTTCATTACCTGGCTGTTCCTGCCTTTTGACATCATTAATTCTCCTTTCCTCCTGGATGTCCCTGCTTTGGAAATTATTGCTCCTAGGGATTATTGCTCTGAAGAAAATGAAAGGCAGTTAGCAGCTTGAAGCCAGAAGTTATCTCTTATAGATTTGGATGCTCAATCTATTGTTTGAATAGTGATAATTCACTTGAGCCACTGCAAAAGATAAGATCGCAATCTAGAAAAGCATGCACACTTCCTCATATATTTGGTCAGATTTTCTTTTTGTTATCTGCCCCCAGCAGAACTCCCTTATTTCTAGTATGCCTCAAAAGTCAGGTTGTATGTTAGTGTTAGCCTCCAACTTCCTTCTAAGGAAAAAGGAATGTTATATTAATTGTTTTTTTTCCCCTTACAGTCTATGCTTCTGTAAGTCTCTATCTGCTTCCAGAGCGCCCTGCAACACTTATCCTTTATGATGACTTGATACAAATCCTTCTTGGTTCTCCAGGTAAGTCCCAAGATCCCATAATCACTGGGATGCAGAAGTTGTGATGGTGGGACTCAGAATAAGTCACTGAAGTTGTCTATTATTTATGTTAATTATTAAGAACTTGCTTAACAATAGAAAACATGGTGGGACCCAGGCTCTTTGTCTCTACAAGCTCTGTACCTCCATAGAAGTCAATACCAACCTATACAAAAAAAACATCAGCATCAAGGTATACCATGTGCCTTTGCAGCAACTTTGGGGATAAAAATCTTCCAAGATATGAGTTATTCATCTGGGTTAAGTAATGGGAGGAGCAAATTGGGCCTTTACTAGAATCATAAGCAAATGAGTTGAAATCTTATCCATTTTGCAGTGAGTCCTGATACAGACAGGAACCCACATGATGGCAATGTGGAGGATGATAAAATGAAGGTGGTGAATGCTTTGAGATGCTTTTCATGGGAGATTATCAGTTGCTGCTTATCCACTGTGTTAGGGGCCTCCATAAATTGGACAAATTAGTCATGATGCTTGTTTTGCATATTTTCTTGTCTGGTTATCCATGGTGAAGATCTAAATAAGATATTGGAGTCGCATCTTGGGTTTAGGAAACTATTGTGAGCCCAATTTCTATTGTGATTTGAATGCCTACTTTCAAACCTATCTATTCAGATTTAGATCAAAACCTAAGATTTTTCTGGATACTTAATTGTCTATCTGGGCCCAATTCTTTTTTTTTTTTTTTGAGAATTCAGATAATCCTCAGATAGTTCTATCTATGAGTCATGATCCCACAATGGATTGTGAGTAACTTTGAGGAGGGTCCAAACTTCAAAAACTTTTTTTTCAATAAAAAATTAAATTAAGTAGTCAAGTTCAGAGTTTTCAGTATTATTAAGCTTACAAATTGGTTTTCTACCAGCTTCATTTTCTTAGGCACACAAGTTCTATAAACTGCTAACAAAATTGTATTCTTTAAATTACTAAGTTATAGGACATTTGCTTAAAACATAATGTATTTTCATGGATTGGGGTTTTAATACAATTAATGCAATTGAAATAGAGCTCAAATTTCTTCAGAGTATAATAACTTATATCATTTTTAGACATGTGATAAACTATTATTACATATTGATGACCTATTAATACCAATAACTGATAACTGGATTTAAATTCTCTTGGAAATATTTGTCTGCCTCCAGCATCTTCAGCAATGTGGCATGTTGTAAATTCTAGTCTTTGGAATGTCTGTAGAACAGTATGTATTAATGAAGTTAGCGAACCCATTCAGTGCTAAGCTGATAACTTCTGCACTCAATACTACTGAAAAGGAGCAATTCATTGATGTCTCTTCTGACACTACTTTGAAAATAAAATTCTTGACAACATCTCTTCCTGAATTTTGGAACAATGTGCAAAATGAATACAACAAAATAAGAAAGAAGTTTATCAGCACACTGATTCCATCTGCAACAATTGATTTGTGTGTGTAAGGATTTTCTATAGTTGCTGCTTATAAAGAACAAATATTGATCAGAAACAAATGTGGAACCAAAAATGAGGGTGGCTGTTTTGAAAATGATACAGCGCGTGCAAAAGTTTAGGTATTTCTGTTAAATTGTATGTTTCAATTAATCACAAAATGAATCGACATAAACCCAATCTCTCCATCCTAGAAAATTAAACATGACTTGTTTGTGCAAATTTGAATGCATACTTACTATTTATGTGCAGTTGTTTACAGATTCAAAATTTGAAAAAAAAAACCCAACACCAGTGAATATGTCAGGTGCAGACGTTTGGACACCCTTATAGTCAATACCTTTAACACCTCTGTTGGCAGAAGTAACAACTTCCAAAAGTGGCCTGTAGCCTTTTTTCCCTTGTTTTTGGAATTTTTGTCCATTCTTCTTTGCAGAACTCTTCTAACTCAGAAATATTCTTAGATCCCCTTGCAAATACTGCATGTCTGAGATTTCCTCAAAGATTTTCAATAATATCCAAGTCCAGTAACTATGAAGGCTATTTCAAAACCTTTATTTTTCTTTCCTGTAAGCGCTTCACAGTTTGGATGTATATTTTGGATCATTGTCTTAATGAAATTTCCAACCTCTTTTCACCTTCAATTTCTTCCCTGACCATGCAACATTAGCTTCTAGGATATGCTGATTTTAGTTGAACTCATTCTTTCACCCACACAAACCTGTGCCACTAGCTGCCACACAACTTCAAAACATTAACTTCTATACTTAACAAGGTATTCTTTGCTTCAAATGCTTCACCTTTTTTCTCCTGCATTGTTATGGTTGAACAGTTTTTGTTTCATCTGTCCAAACCACTTTTGTTCCAAACAATTCAGGCTTATCAAGATTTTCTTTTGCAAGCTTTATATGATGACTTTGGGGATGAGGTCAGAGAATGGTTTTCTTTCTATCAATTCCCCCATGCAGGTCATGTTGCATAAGCATTGCTGTACTGTGGGCTGGTGAACAACTACTTCAGTTAAACTATTCAGCAAGTCACTTACAGTGATCTGCAGGTTCTGTTTTGCAGATCTGATCAGTTTGGGGGCAGTTCTAGCAGAGGTTTTTCTTGGTCTTCTGGATCTTTCCTTCACTTTAGTAGCTTCAGTAATTTCAGTTTCTCACAGTTGAAATTGTTAGCAGGAAGTGTTTAGATATTGTTTTTGTAGCCTTCTCCTACTTTGTAGACAGAACAGTAGTCACAACCTTAAGGGTTGGAAGGGTCAAATATCCGTTCATTTGTGGAATTGTCTTCTCCTGGTTAATTGTACATCTAATGAGACAAATTTTTTTGGACTTTATTGACAACTTTACAGGAAAAAAAAACCTGGATCAGCTGGAAGGGTACTCAGACTTCTGCATCTGCTATATTGTTTTCTTATTTTGAATCTGTAAACAACTGCACATAAGCTTCTGTTCAAAGTTGCAGAACAATGCTGTGTTTAACTTTGTTCCATACAGAGGTTGTGTCGTCTTTTGATCACTTAGGGGTTCATTGAAACATACAACTTGACCAAAGGTGCCTACACTTTTGTATGCAGTATCCATGTTTCAGGAATTATGCAGAAATAAACAAGTTTATCCTTTCCATTAAATTATGATTTTAAATTTGATTTTAAATTTCCATTGAAAAGTGGTAGATTTATTTATTGCCTAATTCTAACTCCAGTGCAATCATTAGTTTTATTCATGGGGAGGGTTCACATACATTTATTTGCCATTTCAGGAAATCATAATATCACAAAGTTTGAGAACCTCTTCAGTTTTTATGCTGGGCTCATATATAGAAACAAAATACATATAATCTTATTTAATTAAATTAACTAGGAACCTAGAGATAGGTAATAGACAGTAATGCCTTTGTTGTAAACCAGGCAAAGTAAAAATAATCTGAATTATCATCTTTATTGTCAACTTTTCCATTAAAGCATATGGAAATATTCAAAGCCTTTCCTGTTTTCCAGGACCTTGCTACTACCTGCCTGGCTGCAACCAATAAGAAAACTATCAACTCTTTATGTTTCAAGGTGTCATTTGGATTAACAAAAAAACTTAGGCCAATTTAGTATCTAATATTATGGCCTGGGTTGTAATCTGTCCTATTTTAATAAAAAATTCAGTTCAAAAAAGCTGAACAGTTTCACAAGACCACCATATAGGTACTTATTTCTTTATGTTTTCTCCAACACATGGGGCTTATACTAGAAATTGAATTTATTAAAGGCTGCATCTCATGGTTAATGACCAATCACTTATGGATACTTTCTTGAGTTATTGCATTGTAAACCTGTGCACTAAGGCCCAGCACTGAAAGCAAACTAAGGATTCTGTGGTCTTTTATGAATACTGCCCAATTAGGCCAGAAGGTTTAAGTGTTGATCATTGCAGGAGCTAAGAGCCAGCCATGGGCACAGTTCCAGCGCAAATCTGCCCGTCTGTCCCGCAGTTCTACCTACAGCCAGCTTTCAGCCACCTTGACTGCCGCCAGTGGTGGGCCAGACATGAGAGGGTTCCCGTCCTTCATTGGGGCTGAAAGTAATGGCAGCGGTAAGGGACCAGAATGGGATGTGGGATTGGGAGGGTTGGAGCATTAAAGCTTGCCATTCTATTACAGCTTGACTCCGACACCAGATTTGGAGGTATGAAATATATATTTAATTAATTTATTATTATACACAATTGTTGTTGTATGGGGCGGGGGGGGAGGAGGAGGAGGTGTCACTAACACCGACACCAGCCTGCCAAACTCTTCCCTGGAATCTTCATCCTCACATCCTTTATACCTGAGTTTAATGGAATGTGAGAATGACCTTGGAAGATGGGGGAAGAGATGCCGCCTAGGGAATGATCAGATAAAAGGGGGAGGAGCCTGCAACTGAGTAACAGGCAGAGAAAGAAACTTAGGACCTGCCCTAACTAATCAGGCGGTAAAAAGGGACAGCAGGAGATTTGTACTTTCGGACTTGCAAGATTCTGTAAATGTAGCCTAACAATAACGTAGAATTAGCTCATCTAGTCATGTTTCCTGTCTGGTTTACCTGAGAGTGCTGACAGAGTTTGGGATGTTCAGCTAAAAAGTTCCACCTGAGCAGGTAGTTACATTGCTACCATCTGTTCTTGAATTGGAAGATAACCCAATGCCACCTGGAATATGGAGCAGAACATGAAATCCCCTTTACTGTGGAATAAGTTATTAAATAAATGGCTGCAGAGCCAATAACCAGGCCCAAATGGTTTTTAATAAAAGAAACAAAGTAAAGATTGGGGAGAATAATGTAATTGCTATGAATTACATGAGGTTGAGACCTGCATTCTACATCCAGTGCTTGGTAATCTAACACTGAGTGAACAAAGAAAGAGGTATCCAGCAAGCCAGCACTTACAGTAAATTAAATAACCCCCATGCAGTTAACTAAATGTTCCCTTCCCTTTGCCGGTCCTTTCTAGGCTTTGGACTTAAATCTTTAGCCCACTCGCATGAAATCTGTTTTTTTAAGTGCCCAATTCCTGCAGGGCCTCCAAGCAAAGCTCACTGAGAACAAAGAAACTTTTAATTTCCCCTCTCTCTAAATTCCACCCCCCTCCCCACTGCTTATTGGAGAGAGTAGTGGCTGTGTTTTTCAACACTTGATTATAATTAAAAATCCTTTTAATCCACTACAATTATTATATACTACTATGCACCCAGGTAGGAATAGGAGTAGCTTTTGAATCTTCTCTTTTGAAAATGCATATCCAATATACAAAAGCCAATTTGGTGTAGTGGTTAAGGCACCAGGCTAGAAACTGGGAGACCATGAGCTGTAGTCCCACCTAGGTACAAAGCCAGCTGCGTGACCTTGGGCCAGTCTTTCTCTCAGCCCTAGGAAGGAGACAGTGGCAAACCACTTCTGAAAAACCTTGCCAAGAAAACTGCAGAGACTTGTCCAGGCAGTCTCTGAGAATCTGACATGATTGAATGGATTAAAAAATGTATATGTAGCTTCTGGGCCTTTGGGGATGTGATAGCTGTCTTTTCTTAACTCCCTCTTTATACAGCTAGTAATACGTGGTTGGAGCTGGTGCCCATTGTTGCAGTCAGTGTTCATCTCTTCACTGGAAATGGCACAGAAGTCCAGCTCTCTGGTTCTGTCCACCTCTCCATCCCACTGCCCCCTGACACGGCTGCTGCAGCAAGTACTAGTGTGCCAGCCTGGCGCTTTGACCTTAAGAGTGGTGAGTGATGGAATGCTTGTGAATCATTTTTTTAATGGTTTAATCATTATTGTATCTGAAAATTACAAACATACGAGGTAAGAAATAATGTTGCTTGTATAAACAAAGACTTTGGCAGGAAGTACATTGAATGATTAATAGGATCCAAACATCCTCTCCTTCACCCATGGAAACAAATTCTCTGCAAGGTCATAAAATTCTTAAGTGCTTCTGGAAAAACATTAGGAAATCCTGCAGGGCAAGCAAGAACCATACCTACAAGAACCAAATCTGATGTGGAGGCATTTTGTTCCCAGGAAGAGGATGAGATTGATGGAAGTGTTCTACTTCTAAACTACTACTGTTGTAGTCTAGATGGCTAGGTTTCTGGTTCAGCTCTTGATGTTTATACATCAGTCCTTCCAGTTTAGAGCTGGTGTGGGAATATATGATTTATTTCTATAATTCCCTGTGAATCTAAGCTGGTTTTCTTTGTTCACCCCTAAGTGTGAGCTGTATAAGCAAAATGCTGTCTGGTATTGTTCATATTGGGGCAGACAGGGTTAATCAAGGTCTCCTAGCCTCTTTCAAATTAGGGGTGGTGCTTAGGGTTAATGCTAAAGTTACTAAATGAAGTGACAGGAGTAGAATTCTAGATAGGGGAGATACTCTGAGAGCCACACTGTGTTCCTAGGTTGCCGGTTCCCTGTTCTAACTTTGTGCTTCTCCTGTACAAGAAACCACAGTAGGCATGCCACAGTACAGCTGCTGATTACAATATGGCCGCATATTCTTGAATAATTTTGACTAAGAGGGGTTTGGGGGGATAGGGCTGGTGAGTAGTCCTCTTCCTTTCCGGTAGGGTTTTATTCAGATGTCCTTTTTCATTACTTCAGATTCAGTCAAACTCTCTCTTCTAGGGCTGTGGATCCGGAATGGAACCGGACTCATCCGCAAGGAGGGGAATCAATTGTACTGGACATTTGTCTCTCCGCAGCTGGGCTATTGGGCAGCTGCCATGATGTCTCCTGCATCAGGTAAAATTGCCACAGCCAAAGACTCTGAGTAATAAACTGATCTCGGTGCACACAAGAGTTTTTGCATACCTGGTATCACGGTATGAAAGGAGATTAACATGCTGGTCACTGGACATTCCTCTCTTATTAATTAAAAGAATGGCCCTCTGCACATTTCCCACAGAGGTCCTTAGTAAAAGAGTGAAATGTCTCTCCCTTAACTAGTTGAGGGATAACTTGACTTCTGAAAGTTAAAGCTATCCAGTTGCTGAGATTTCTGTAACTTTATCCTATTTTCTTAAGTAAATCTTACTAAACCCAGAAAGAATCTTGCTTCCTGTTGAAGTGGGCTGCCAAAAGCTTGATACTGGTGGGAATTGTTTTAGGGTGTGACATTTTTTGGATTGTAATTTCTAGAACAACTCTCAGCTTGAGTGGAATGTTTTCCTCCTATTGAGTTTGGGACATGTGCCCTGCCTGTTTCATAGATGCATGTGATATCATGACACATGTACAAAAGGGGTGGAGTTTAGCACACAGCACTGTGTTCATTATTTCCTCCCCCCCCCCAATCTTTTCTGCAGATACGTTTGCCAGGGGAAGTTCTTATTCTCTAAATCTTTTGTTGTTTTGGCCTTTTTAATTGTTACTTTACAATTATGTTATTTTAATTAAACTGTATTTTTAAAAACTGAATGAAATTGTAAGCCATCCAGAGAATGTTATTTAATGGGCTTTATATAAATACTCATGACAGATAGTAAATATTGTTTCCAAGTAGAGTGGAAAGGGGGTGGGGCAGTGCCCCAAACTGTCTAGTCATAAGAGCTGCTTCTCTGCAGGGCTGGCAACTTCAACAGCAGGAATTAAAGATATTGCCACCTACCATACTATCTTTCTACTTACTATCTTGGGTGCCCTGGCATTGCTGGTCCTCATTTTGCTCTGCCTGCTTATCTACTACTGCAGGTGAGTGCCACACTTTCTCTCTTCTCTCCTTCTCCCCCACCACCTGTTGCTTCTAATTCCAGCCCCATCTCTAAAACCTTTTTTCATAGTCCTACTAAGCATCACTACTTTAGCAAAGGCTTACTTATTACATCATATTTTATTTCACTTGGATATTATACACTTTATTTGGATGCTACTTACTGCAGTAATTGGCCCTGAATCCATGAGATTGAGCACACCTCCTATTTCCACCATAAACTCAGAAGTTGCAACTGCCCACCATTCCATCCACATCATGGAATGTTTACTTCTGGGAATTTCGGACAGGGCATTTTGAAAAGCAACACACCCCTGCAAGCAATCAATTGGGGCAGAGCCTAGGCATGGCAGCTGAGCTGAGGATTGTAGGATTCCAATTCTTTGGAATTTGACAGCTGTTCCAAACACTTTGACACCAGTCACTGGACAATGTCAGGCAGTCTTTGTGGCTGATTAGTAATGGATCAGTTACTTTCCCCTCCCCATCTCCAAGGCCCACTTTCTTCACCCTTGGCCTTCCTTCCCATGTTTTAGTTAGCAGTTTTCAAACTTTTTCAGCCAAGGAACTTGTTTGCTAAATAAAAAAAATCAAGAGAGGTTGAGCTTTCTGATTTCAACTGACAGGCCCTTCCCTTTTCACTATACAGAGAAAAAGCGCTGCGGACAATCCTGAAGAGTGGTATTGAGGCATGAGCGGATAGCTGAGTGCTTTCAGTTTTTTTCTCTCAGTTCCTTACAGATAGGTTTATTTTCTCCCTTAATCTCTGGGAGGGAGGGAGGGTTCCCCCACCAGTCCCCCACAACCATTCAAGTCCTTGTGGAACAAGGATTCCACAAAACCCAGTTTGAAAAATCCCATTCTATTGGGCAGTGGTGTATAATAGAGGACAGTGCCCCTGAGCGTGCAGAAGTGCCTTTTCCTCAGTCGTGAAGGAAGCATCTGCAATTCAGCCAGGAAATGGGGAAGAGTAATGTAGGTCAGAAGCTTAAGCTTCCAGGGAAATTTGAACCCAGGATCTTTCATTAGAAAGTCTGTCCATGATCACCGCTGCGTCTTAAACCCCTCTCGCTTATGCCAAGGAGAGATTTTATTTCCCTCAGTTCAGAAATTTGTGCTGGAATTAACTAGATGGAGACAAGCGTATGTCTAGCAAGCAGAGTATTCTTTCTTTTTTTACAGTATTTCATAAATTAGAGCCAGAAAGGACCCCAGGTCAAGGTCTGCCTTCCTCTTATCACCACAACACATTTCTCTTGTGCCTAAGGCCAGAGTTATCCACTTACTCAAACTGCTCTCATTAGAGAGCCCCAGGTGCCACAAATGGAGGGCCTGATACATTTCCATGCAGTTCAGGTAAGTCAGATCCAAATATTGACCTGGACATGGAAATGAATACTTTGTCAAACCCTAAGCATTCTGAGCAAATTGGGAGGATACATTTAAATTCTGTTACTCAGTATCCTGAGTGAGTTAGGACATTAATTAGGATTCCCTAATGTCCCAAAAGAAAGAAAGCAGATGGAAATGGGAATTCAGGAGGAGGAAGACCATGATTCAAGGACCTGGAATATTACTAAGAGATCAAATCCTCAATTGCACAAGAGCTGAAGGGTCATTAATACCAGCTGCAATTATTTTCTTTGGAATAAAGCCATTTTAATCATCTTTTCTGCATATGGAGACATTTTGGCAGTGCATTCCTTCCATATACGTTGGCTGCTGATTCCCATTTATGTCACTGTTCCTTTGACCTCTCCCTGCCCCTAAGTAGACACTTAGTTTGGATGCATGAGAGAGACCTCAGGTAAATTCTACTCCTGTTCGAAACTTAGAAGAAAGATCCCTAGCTATTTCCTTATCATTAGTTCCAAAGGAGAAGCAGTGATTACTTTTCCTGGGCAACTAACATTTTTTGTCCAATCCGTACAAGGTACTACTTTTAGGAGCAAAAACATAGATTTCACTCACCATAGTTAAATGAATTTCACTTGGAAGTTAGGGTCATCCTTTGCTGGGATCCCAGAATTGCCAGTTGCTTATCTTTAAAGCATACTCTATTATACGGTATTAATACTTTTATTTATGCATGTTTGCCTGCCTTCTGGTTTGGGTACTGCTTACTCTAAGGGGGAGCAGCTCATCAGATGAAGATGATCTTTCCCACCTTATTAACTGAGACCTTTCAGCTGAAATACCTCTGAACATCTTTTGTGTGCAGAGGTATTCCAGCTGAAGTTAACAAGATGGGGACTTTCAAGTATCATAGTTCTGTATTGCACCCTCTGAACATCTTTTGTGTGCAGAGGACGCAGTATGTCAGAACTTGGACTATGATACTTCTCCATCCGTACAGATCTTTGTACCCATTTTCTTTCTTTATGTCTTCCTTTCTAGGAGACTGTGTCTGAAGCCACGTCAACAACACAGGAAGCTTCAGCTTTCTGGGGCTCTGGATGCATCCAAGAAAGATCAGGCTACATCAATGTCCCAGATTAATCTTATTTGCACAAGCCATATGGAGACAGCCTCATCCAATGGGGATATAGACGTGCATACACCCATCCTCAAATCAGCCTTCTCCTCCTCCAGGGAGTTTGAGAGCTCCCGTGAGGAATTTTTCAAGCAAGTGCCAAACCAGAAAATTCGTCATGCCAGCAAGGCCTCCACAGCAGATACACTGAGCCAACGAGGTGGTCCCAAGGATGACTATCCTCGAGTGGTGGAGGGCTATTCACTGAAGGCAGCCCGGTCTATGGATGCCCCTGGCACGCTTGAACCCCCTCTCCTGGAAGATTACAAGCGTAACTATTCACATCAGCGGGTAGAAGATAAGAGCAATGAGACACAGCGCAAACAAGCACGCAATGATAGCAAGTCTTATTTACAGGAGCCCCCATCACCACCACCTCTCCCAGCTCCTTTTGACCATTATATGGCCCATAAAGGGGATGCCAAGCCTCCTGACTTCATGATGTCACAGTCTGTAGACCACCTGGCCCGTCCTACCTCCCTGAGTCAACCTGGACAGCTAATCTTCTGTGGTTCTATTGACCATATGAAGGATACAGTGTACCGAAATGTCATGCCAACTCTCGTAATTCCTGCCCACTATATGCGCTTGGCTCCAACAGAGCAGACTACTGGGGGCTCTGAAAATCAACCCGATATGGACCCAACTGCCATGGGACTCCCTCATCAATTTGGTCCCCAGGAACAACAGAGGCAGCAGCAACTCCTCCAACAGCAGCTGCAACATTCACAGTTCCAACTACAGCAACACCAAGTGGAAGACCCTGAAGGGAAGGGTTGGGGACCTCACACACAATCTGTCAGTGGTTCAGTCACCATACCAGTGTTGTTAAATGAATCCACTATGGCCCAATTGAATGGGGAGCTACAGGCACTGACTGAGAAGAAGTTGCTGGAACTGGGTGTGAAGCCACACCCACGAGCCTGGTTTGTATCTCTGGATGGGCGTTCCTCTCAAGTCCGTCATTCTTACATTGATCTCCAGGGCACTGAGAGGAACCGCAGCAATGATGCCAGTCTGGACTCAGGTGTGGATGTCAATGAAGCCAAGCCCCCCAAGCGCCTGAAGGAGGAGCGCATGGCTCCTGCCATGGGTCCAACGTACTCTAAGCTGGTCTTTGCCGATGCTGACACAGAGCAAAGCAGCAGTGAGAGCCGTACCGCCATTTGTTCTCCTGAGGACAACTCACTGACTCCTCTGCTGGATGAAAACACTGACCACCGTGCTGCTACAATTCCTCGACATGGGCGCAGCCGTGGCAACAGCTCTCGCAGCAGCAACAGCAACAGCGAACTGCGCCGTGACTCAATGACCAGCCCGGAGGATGACAGCAACGAACCTTCTGAAGGAACTGATGACCAGGGGGACAAGAAGAGTCCCTGGCAGAAACGTGAGGAACGGCCTCTCATGGTCTTCAATGTGAAGTAGCCAGCAGGAGGAAGACAGTTCACCCTCATTGCACACTTTGGGTGGGGGAGGATGGGGCACCAGAACCATGGAGATCAGTATTTGCCTTTGAGTCTGGTCCGGCTTCCTTTTCTCTCCACCTCATCAAGTGCTCGGCTGAACTGAAGCCCTTATTTTTTGACAGAAGAGATGAACAAACAGAGCAAGGAGCAGAGTGCAGCCAAGCTACACTAATGTTTTTCCCAGTCACTCAAGATGCTGTCTTGCTCAAAGCAGGTTAAGAAGTGCCACAGCAAACTACCTAAGAAAATTTGGCCTCTTTCTGTTAACACCAACCACTGTGAGCCAGGCAACCCGGGGCACAGGAATTACGAAGGATGTGATGGCAGCAAAGGAAGTTTCATTGTTCTGTAACTCTCTTGTTAATCTGTGGAGAGGATACAGCTTGTCCTATGTGGTTCCAGTTCCTAGAATCCCTTGCTCTCCATCCAGTTTGGTATAACCAGAACTAGCGCTGGCCTCTTGCTCTGACACATTGGGAACAGAGGTGCAGTGGAAAGGCATGACTCAGCTCTACAACCCTCTTGCCCTCAGGGCTTTGTACAGTTCTTTTTTTTTAATTAAGTCCTGTGGATTCTCCAAGCCAGAAGCTTGGAAGGGTGGGTGCCCCAGGGCTCTAGGCCGATGCCCATCTGTGCCTGTCATCCTTCTGTGATCCAACAACTTGGATTAGAGTACAGGGCCCAGACAAGGGGGTGGGTTTGGGGAAATTTGGGCATTAGTGTGGGTAATATACATATGTGTGTGCATGCGTGTACGTCAGTGGTGGTTGGGAGTCTGAGCCATGTGTGTGTGGGTAGATGTGTCAGTTGTGTCTGACCTCGCTGCCAAATGAACTCCTTAATGGAGCCATCTCTGTGCCCCCTTTTTTTTCCTTGTGCCTGCAACTCCTCCGTCTCCTCCAAGTGCCTTCTGGCCCCAGTGTCTCCCTCCCTCCCCCCCAGCCAGGCAGCTGTGAATGAAACCTTGATATCCATAGAGGCGTACAGGCATACCATCTGCTCATAGCTGCTCAGATCTTCCTTTCTGTATAATCCCCTTTTTTCCTGCAGTGAGTGCTTGGCAGGGGGATCAAGAAGGGGGATTGCTGAAGGAAAAACCAACTGCTTATAAGCACAGCGGCCAACTTGCTAAGCTATCAGTAAAGACGTAGGGAACTGAGCCAACCAGCAGCACAGTCATGGTGATTGGGATCCTGAAGAGCAGCAGGACCACATTCAGGTCTTACGAAAGTGACAGTACGCATGATGAGCAGTCCCAAGTGAGGCATCTGTGGAGGTCTTGGAGGCCATTGGGGCACATGATGATTTCATCTGAAGAAGGGAACGGGGAACCACTAGCCAGCCCCATGCTGAGGCTTTTGTCAGTCCAGTTGGAAGATAATAAATGGGGATGTGCAAATAGGTGGCGGCAAAGAAGAACATGGAATCTAAGAGCCTTTTTAGCTTTTTCTTTTGTGTTTACGGACAGCTGGGCTTTTATTAATCACAGGCCCAAATCCTTTTGTAACAGCAGAAGGCAGCAAAGACTGAATAGGTCAGAAATAATTTGGGGAAATATTTTATTTCAGACTCACCTTCATACCAACTGAACTTAAAATAGAGGTGGGAATTCTTTTTTCTCTTGAGGGCAACATTCTTTAGAGATAAACTGGGAGATCACATGCTGGTGACAGCCGGGCCAGAGCTGAAAGTGGGTAGGGCTTTTCTCCCTTCCATCCTTTTCTCTCCATCTCACACACACCCATCATCCCCAGCCCTGCAAGCTGCTAGAGAACGGTCAGATTGCTCATTAGTGATCTAAGCTGGTTATCTAGAGCACATTTTCCCCTACTATTTTAGTTACTTGGTCTATTTGTCTGTATTTCCTGGTTTTTGTATTCTTTCTTCTATTTCTGGTCCTGCTCTTGTAATTTTTGCCCTTCACTTGGATGCCCTTCATTACATAAAATTAGGCTAAGGAGTGTCATTTTCTCACCCTGCTTGGAGACATTGTCTTTTCTGAAGGACACACTCCTCTCTTGGCCAAGATCTGCATATTCTGACTTAAAAATAGGTCCCTATTCATCTCAGCTTCATTTGAGTTTATTAGAATAGAACATAACTCTTATACAGTGTGAGAGAAGCACTTCCCATATGCTCAGAAACATTGATCTTTATTTGCCTGCTCCAGGGTTGAGCCTTATTAATGAAAACAGTCTCTGGGGCTGAGCCCTATTTGTATAAAGACTACTTCCATTATACTCAGATTTTTTGTTTGTTTGTTTTGGTTCTTAGGATGGTTTTTCTTTTAATTTCCTTTACTGAGTAATTTCCATATTTTACCTTCTTCCACAGCATTATATTGAATCCTTTTTATGTTCATAGGTTTTATTTTTTTCTGAAACACCAACATTAGAAAGACTAATTGTGGAACTTCCCAGTACCTGATGTGACTGATGCAAGATCAAAACTTGCCAAAGAGCTCCAGAAATAATGAAGTTACTTACATGAAAGCCTTTGTTAAAAATGGCAGAAAATTTTCATGTTTGATTAGTTTGTAAGTTTTGCAGCTATTCATTTAAGGACTTTTCATGTTCTGTAAATCAGCTGTAAACTTTTTCCAGCTGCGGATGAAACTGCAAGAGCTGGCTGACCATTCTCCCAAACCAGATTGTCTCCTTCCATGTTCCACTAACACCTGATGATAGATACTGAGAAATGCAGGAGAATCCCGCACTTGTAACCAGACTGCCCAGCTGGGAGAAACAGCACTGGCCCTTACTTGGCTGCAGGGAAGTTAATGCACAAAGAGAGTCCACTGAGCCATAAAGGACTTTTCCACATTTGTGGATTTTTTAAAATGTTGCCCCTTAGTTAAGCAAAACATTATTTCACATTCGCTATATCACAGCAAATGTATGATTGAAAACTGTGGCGACTAACATTTAAAAAGATAAGGCGGCTGTGTCTCCTCCATTTCCTAACTCATGCCTGAGCAGAGATTAGCCTAATTCAATCACTAATCTCTCCCAAGAAAGCTGCGCCCAACGTGGTTTTAAGATATCACAGTGGTGTGATGAGATAATTACAGCTCTCCGCAAAGATAGTGGCTTTCTAGTCAAACCAGAGGAAAGTTTTTAAAAAGTCAAGGAAGTATTAATCACTCCACCACCCCACACAATAGAAACCCCAGAACCAGATGCCTCTTTTTCCTTCCAATCAGTGCACAATGCTGTTTTCTACTAATTTTTATAGCTGAAGAAAAACCTTGCATCCAGGGACTGGCATAGCAGGGTATGTCCTCTGACACAGATGCATCTTTAACTATGTTAAATGCCTTTTGCCTTCTCCAGTGATGTCAAACTCTGCCAAACAAGCATTTGAGTTTTTTTTTTTTAAATGATCTAAAGAAAAAAATAGTTGGACAAACGGCAAAAAAGGGGACTCCGTGGCTACTGTTGGTGAACCTTCTTACTTGTTCTTTAGAATGGTATTAATATATAAACCTTCTGAATTTATCACAGCAACATTGCACAATGGTGATTTCCTTTCCCAAGAGGATTTCTCTTCCTTCTAGGCTTTGGTGTGCCTGTGAAACTGAAAGAATAGAGGAGGGTTACCCTTCTCCAAAGGCAGGTCTTACCCGGGAGAGGGAATTGTGCATTTATTGATAGCTTACTGGCTTGTTATTGTCCCTTTTCAAAGCTACAACTCTTTAGCAATGACTTGAGACCTGGAACAAGAGCAGCTACTTTTCCTAGCACGGAGACAGCATTAGAGAGAACTTCACTCTTGAATTACAGTTACTGCTAGGGAACAGTAATAAGGTAACTCCAGCTGTCTTAGTCTGTTCCCCACCCCCACCCCAGAATTGAATAGACACAATATGCTAATCTTAACATTTATACATGGAAGCAGTGAACGTTATTCAGTGTGGAAAGGACATATGCTTTGCCTGCACAAGAAGCAGCAGCTTTCAAAGTGAACAATACAGACTTAGTCACTGCTGTGTGGGTGGGATGCAGAGGGCTAAAGTTGGGTTGCCTGCTCTGAGCTCCATTCTAAACTTTTGAGCTGCTTAAATATACAGCAAGTTCCAGACATTCAATGCTGGTGAATCAAGATTTGGTCTGGGGAGAGGGCAGAGGAGCTGCATGAAAGTTGGGAATAATATGGAGTAATGCGAACAAAGATAACATATTTTTAAAGATCTTGGCTGGCCTATGTAGACTTTGGAAAAGTAAGACTACTAGGTTGGGCTGCAAAAAATTCAGATGGTCACTAGCTGGCATCAGTGAGTTACAGAAAACTCTTTAAGTCTTTGCTATCATCTAATGTTTGTCTGGATTTGTGTAATCTAGAACAAATAGTCTAAATCAAAGTGGTGCAGTGAGATAAGACAGCAAAGCATTAGCTGTTGTTTTGATTCATAACAAGACGTATTTCTGTTCCAATCCACAGATTTAATAGTGGCTGCTTTAAAATGTTAGAATGTGCAGTGCATATACGCTGTGGCTATCACCTTTGGGGAATAAAGCCGCAGTGCCATACAGAGCAACACTGACACATAAGGCACCTAATTGCAATATCAAATTTTGAGTGCCGACAGCATGTGAGCTGTCTAGAGGCTTTTGATTAGCACGCAGTACAAATTTTAGTAAATAGAACAGGAGCCAAAATTAGGTTTACTGAGAGGTAGCAGCATGTGGAAAAACACTGAGGCTTATAGAAGTACTGTACATATTTAAAAATATTCAAGAGGACACACAAGCTCTCCTCCCCCCACCCTCCAGTAGACAAAAGGAAAAGATTCCCTCAGTGTGACTTCTGGTGATTTTAAGGCAGCCGTTTATATAGTTCTGAGACCTGTACAGGACAGAATAGAAGATTGGATAAGGAATGCCTGGCTGGCCTGTTGGTAGATAAGATTAGTATTTCAAGGTCCACTATTTCTTCTATCAGTTTAACAGAAACAAGAGATAATAGTTGCTGGTTACAGAGAAAAAATCTTTAGCATGGCAATACAGAAAATACTTATCTCTTTAAATGAAACTAGTCTATAAAAATTGCTTTATGCTATTGGGCCAGCTCATACTTGAGTTGTCTATTATTCTTCCAACATTCCAGACTCTTCCCTTTTGCATTTGGAAATGGTAGGGATCTATGGGTGATGGTTTCTAAGGTTTACTAAACATTAAAAGAAGTTGGGGGAAGAACATGAAGTAATGTGCATTGCATAATATTAATGATGCCCTGCACTGTGTGGAGATAAATGTAAAGTCTGTTTCAGATCACATACTGTTCCCAGTGATGCCCGGGGCTTTTCTTGCCAGCAGTGCAGTTGGGGTTTTCCATTGCCTTCTTCCAATTTTTTCAAACATTTTTGGGGTTAGCCTATAGCCCTGATACTCCCTAAAGATCTCCCATCCACGTTATTAAAACCTGTTTCTCACACACATTGTGTGGCCCTGGAAGGAGGATGCTCCAGAAACAGCACAGCACTGTTCCCAAGTTGGGAATAGACTTCGATATTTTGAAGCTTAGAAATACTCCCCAGCCCTATTGTGCTCTCAATAAATATAGGTAGGCATTTTAATAATTTGCATGACAGAAACTTGGATATATCTGGAAAGTGGACATCAACAAGGTCCTTCACTAGTTCACATGGCTAACTTTCTCAAACTGGTTTTACAAATGTGTTGGACTGCAGGCTGGAGATGTGGGAATGGTGATTAACACATCTCAAAAACAAGGTTAAGGAAGCCTATGATATATCACCTAGTACTTTTGTACATCAACAGGTGTAAAATCTCCCTTTCATTTAAAGAAAAAAATCCTCCTTAAAATGCCTTCACAATGGTTAATTTCCACAAATAAAAGTATTCTTGGAAGGTATCGTTTAACATCATCTTTGGAGAATATAAACTCCATTGTTAGTACAATTCATTATACTCCTGCCAAAACTTCCTTTTAAAATTATAAGCAGGGGTAAGAACATGTCATTTTAGTATAATAGCAAAAATAAACAATTTTATTCTATAAAAAAATCTCTCGTAATTTTACTCGTGTATTTCTGTCCTACTACTGGAAGCTACTCCTGCGGAACAATTTGTATCTTATTAACGAGCTACCGTTGTCTTCCCGTAACAAGGAGGGAGCCTTTGCTCTTTGTCAGCCAAGACAGATTCTCTCCTTCCCTCCCCGCCCTATTTTACTAGCAATGGATGTCTCCGCGCTGCTGCACCAGGGACACTCCATAGATTCCACGGGCTCGTTTAGGTCAGGAGTCCGTTTCCAGCTTCCATCCGCTTCTCCCCTTTCCCACAGGAAGTAAAGCTTCCGGTCAACCGAGAGACTGCGGCTGTGATAGACTCGTCTCCCCACCAACACACAACCAAAGATGCGACCACCAAAGGCCTTACGTGATACCTCTTCATTTCTAAACATTTAAAAGTGCAACGTTTCGCATGAGGTTGTTATGACATAAGGAAGCTGCTTATGCATTGAGTTGGGCTGGCGGGGGTAAATTAAACTAACTGGGATGCAAACTCTCGAGGGCTGGAGGTGGCTAAAACCTAAAGCTCCCCCGCGCCACCGCAATTGCTGTCAGTTACACAGCTATCGCGAGACTCGCGGACTCTCAGCAAGGGATCGATTTATGATAGCTCTGCAACGTCCATCTATTAGCAGTAATGAAGGCGAAGCAAATGGTTTGTATGTTGTAATCTGCATTGGCATAAGTATTTTCAGCTTTAAAAAAGCCCCAAAGATTTTCAGTTCCCCCCACAGCTGTTACATTTAATCACAGAAATGGGCATGGGGGCAACCAATCAGAGCTAGTAAATTTTTTACATTTTCTACTGACTTCTCTATTTGGTTCCTATTTCCACACAGGTGGAAATTGCTTCCAATGAAACTCTTCAGAAACATTGGGATTTTGTGTTTTCTGTCTCTGTTCAAGAAACAGAGGAACCCCATACAAAAGATTAAACAAACTGGCAAGCAGAGGGAGAGGAAGCCTACTCTCTCTTCAGATCTGGCTTGTTCCACCACCTATCAATTCACTGCAGATTTCTGTTTTCTACAATCATGAGGCGTTCAAGTAGCCAAAAAAATCCCCCAAACACAAACATTAATTCTGCCTTGATGAACCACAAATAATTTAGAAACTGCTTTACAGTTTTAGCTTTTTTATGTGTTGCAAAGTAAGCAATTATCATTAATTCCCTGCTCATCTACAAATGCAAAACTCCCTAGAATAAAATGTTAATACCAATTTGTTTGTTGTAATATAAAATGTAGGGTTAAAAGGTACAGAGTAAATGGAAATCAAAATCAAGATCCAAGCTTGCTACTAGTGGTTTAAATGTTAATAGTGCTGATTTTAATACTATATTGTCCTTTGTTAAACAAAAATAATATTTTTCCATATATATCGAAAGCATCCCTCAACATAATACGCATAAACTGAACAGTAAAAGCAGTTCATATATTAAATGAAAATAAATAAAAGGCCTGGAAATTTCTATCATAGACAAAACAACTTGGAAAAGTTGACAAAGATATTCTAAAGTCCTTTTCCTTGCCTATTTGTTTAAAAAAATAGCCAAAATGTTGACAAAAAGTACATACCAGTAATTCAGTGCTCTGAATCAGATATTGATGCATCTTTCCAAAGTGTATAACTTAATTTTTTTCTACTTCCTCATGATTCTTGATTCCTTGATAAAGAATCAAGGAATTCTTTGCCAGAATATATTGCCAGAATAACACATATCCTTGGCTAACAACTTTTATTCTGAATTCCTGTTGACAGTCCTATGAATTTCAGACCAAAATATGGCATTACTAAAATAAACCCAAACCATACTAGTTAATATTTCAACTCTTGAAACTCTGTGTGACAACTATAATTCCCTTTACTAAACATTCCCTAATAATGCGCAATAGACATTAAATTTTCTGTTGTATTAATTGCATTTTAAGATCAAAGGAGACATTTTAAAGGAATCTGCCACTGGTTTGCAAAACAGGATATTCAAGTTTATTATTCCAAAGGTCAGGGAAATTAAAAATACCTGTTTCATCTGCCTTTTTCAACCTCTTACAAAGTCACTGGTTTAGGATTATCAATTAATTCCTTGCAGAATTAATTAATTAACAAATAACAGTATTTTAAAGGCAACAACAGCATCACACCAAAAAGTCCAAATAACAAGAACCTGAAAAAGCATTTTAAGTTGAATCCAACAAACTCAGTTTTAAGTCGTGCAAATGTTTTAAAAACTGCTTCAACAAAACTAAACTGGTCCAAGGTAAAAATATTATGAGAAGCCCAATCTATATCCTCCAAGGATTTACCAATTATTCTTAAATCAGGATTGTCCCATGAGTTTTTCATAGATAATGGATCTAATTTTTATCTATGACACAATATTTTCCATGTGTATCTTGAAGTATATCAGTACCCTTCAAAATTCAACAAAAATCCTAAAAGGGTTGCACAACACTTAGGATTTATAGACAAAAAAGATGTTTGAAGTACATGAGGCCATAAAAGTAGCACCTCTCTGCAATTCCTTAGACACATTTTTTTTTTCTGGGATTGTCTTCTGTTCTGGAAATCTTGGGAAAAGACACCACTGTTTTAAGGAATTGTAGATAGGTGTTACATGAGCCCAACTGCCTTCAGATCTGAAGTGATGCACTACCCTCTTGTAGATCAGAATTTCCATGGAGTCAAATAATAAGCTGAGTCCAAAGACAACTGAATTCTGAACGTTTTTATTTTAATTGTCATTAAAGCTAAATGTATAAATCTGCAAGTATGAAAATGATGTTAAATTAATATCTCCAACTATAGAGTAATCAGAGAAGATGCCAAATTCTCAGATTAAAGAAGCAGGATTAGGAATGGAAATTCTTGTGCTATCAACGACACATAAAGCATCATTTGCATATAGCAGCAGCTTTAAGATTTTCAAATTCTCTATGGCACAAGCAAGCAATTCTAAGACCAAATTAAAAAGAAAAGGCAAAAGAGGTTGACCTTAACTGTATGACTACATAGATTTTTTAAAAAGGAGAAAGTATCCCACCAGTAATCATTTGTAAAACTTTGGGGAACCCTCAATATAGCAAAATCCACCTTGGAAACAGTGAGAAAACAGTTTTCTTAGTGTTCCAAGAAATAATAGCAAGTGCCTTTTTGCCTAATTTGACTTCAGTTAGGAATCTATCAATATGTTGATGCCACTGTATTAAATATAGTTTGAGCTGGATGGAGAAAAAGGGGATAAAGCTGGCTGCTAAAGTGTTTTTATCCACACTTGACAAAGCACTAGATCTATGCTTATCTGGTATGAAGAAAAGTGATATAAGCCTCATTATAAGAAATAAGAGCTGTTTTATTTAGAAGCTAAAAAAGTCAACACAACCTTTTATAAGTATCAATTGTTACTCCATCTAGGCCAAGAGTTTCCCCCAATTTTAAAGATGTAATTGTAGCCACTTATTCCCAAAGAGAAAGGTGAACTGGGGCTGGTAAACTGGTCCTGTGGAAGGCTCACAACATACCTTGAAATTTAAGTGGTTTGATTGACATCCTTCCTTTTCTAAAACTCAACAAATTCTAAGTCAGCTGAGTTCTCAAAGTGTTTATTTTGTCTGGTCTATACCATCTCAGATTACAATGCGGGGGGGGGGAGGCATTCACAAGATGGAATGTTTCTCCAGTTAAAAACAAAAAACCTCTCCACGTAGAAAATGAGCAAACTACAAAAATGGATCTCATTTGGGATATCATAAAATTTTTACTTCTGAACACAGCTACTATATGTTATGTTCCAGGTTAGTCTAGGAAATAAAGGGGATTCAGATGGGTAATGCCTAGTATTATCAACCAAAGCGCACTGTGCAGCTATTGTGTCTTTCCCTGTAAATTACTGCATGAAGTGGACTTAATTCACAGAAATATTCCACTTATTTTGAATGCTGGAAGTAAAATTGAAATTGCATCTTCATGCACCCTCTAGCGGTTCATAATTGCATGGTCACGTATTAACTTAAAAACATGATTTCAGATGTTCTCAGGGGCTCCTACTTGATGCAGAGACTACCGTATGTCAGCTGCTGGCCACTGCCTGATACTTGCACACAACTGTAATCTGGAAGTTTGGTGAAACCACCAAAACCTGACTGTTCTGCAATCACTGGAAACTAAAGCCCCAAATCACCAAGAGATACGTGCAGATAATCTTGCAATAAGAAGCAAAGCATTAAAGGCAAAAGCATAGCATGGAGCAGTGTTTCTCAACCGAAGATCTGTGGACTTCAACTCCCAGAATTCCCCAGCCAGTGTGGAGTTGAAGCCCACACATCTTAGAGTCGCCGAGGCTGAGAAACACTGGGATAGAGACCTGTTTGGGCAACAGCAGGTTTAAATGAATGACCTAGATATCTTAGTTGGTCATAAGTTGAACATAACGGAACAGAATGATGTGGGTGCTACTTATTAAAGCAATAGTTTTCTTTCTGGGGTAGGCAGCGCAGCGTCCGTGGGTACAAGCGTCTCCTGTGCCCGCCCTGCAGCCATAACGTATCTGAAGAGACGTATAAATGATGCAGCACGCTTGACCACGGTCGCGCCAGGCAGGACGAGAACTATTGGGTCGAAATAGCAGGGAAGTAGTCCCACATTCCCTGTGAAGCCAGCCTACAGCCCAGGGTCAGAATCGTTTCCTCCCCTTCCACCCGGAGTGTCCGAAGGGCTGAACGCCCTGCCATGACTTCGAACGGGCCCAATAAAGATGTCGCCCTCGCATGACTGGAACGGGCGGGGAGCTCAAAATTGAGGCTTCGGGTACGATACACCCTTTGAGAGACGCTCTTGATTACCACTTCCGGGCTGCGTCCTGACAGCCCCACAGTCAACATAACAAGTTCCGGGGCTGAGTCGACCCCCGCGTAAGTCCCTCCTCCCACCTCGTCACGTGCGCCCGAAATCTTATTTGAACCTCGAGAGGGTTTGGATCTTGGCCAATACGGTCCCACGCTATTTGCATTCTACATTCGGGTGGGGAGGTGGGACTAGGTAGCAAACCCACCAATCCAAAACAAAGGGCTGCGATGTCTCCCCTTCGCCTCCGTGCCTTCCTGGAGAAGAAGGGGCCAATCACCATGGAGTAGGAAGGGCGAGCGGGTCAAACCTACTCAGAGGGGCGTGTCCCAGCTCGAGGTTTTGCTTGCTTGCTTGTTTGCTTGCAAGGAAGGCGCCTGCAGGGCTTTCCGACTCTCATTTCGGAAGCGCCGGTGCCAAAGGTGAGTTTTCTGGCGCAGCGCTTTGGCGAGGCGGGAGGCTTCCCGTCGACCTTCGTGGTGGCTGCTCCCTTAGCCTGTGTTCGGAGGCGGGTGCTCCGGGGCGCATGATGTCGGGGGAAGAGCCAAAGTTGGGGGATCGCTTACAGTTCTTGCTGCCTGGCTCTGTGGGAGACAACACGGGGGGTCGGACGGGGCCTCTCCATTCTCGCGTTCAGCGTCGCCTTTCTCTGCCCCCTCTCTCCCCCAGAGTTGATGGGCGGATTGGGGCCAGGAATAATCCTTCGTCATCTCCTTGCGGGATATCCTTAGAGCCGGGATTTGGCGCTGACAGAGGTCGGTACAGCCAGGCGCCTCCTGCAGGTGACTGAGACCAGAGCTGAGGGCCCTTTCCTAAGCTGTTGACCCCGCCTTGGGCTTTGAAGCTCACAAGACAGCCGAAAATGCTGTGAAAGAGTCCTCAGGAGGAGTTGCGTGCGTGGGGTGGACTGCCAGGCCCGAATCTTCTATCCAGAGATCAGCCGTCCCGGTACTCTTAGCAGATGCAGCCTGTTCTGCTTTTCCTGCTTAGCGCCCGGACAGCCTGGGCTTGGGAGTGGGCATGATTGCTGGCAAGCAGTTTGTTGGGTTTGGATGGGTCTGCAGTGTGAGGTGCACATATGTGTACAGCTGGGCAGATTCAGACTTAGATTAGCCCATCATCGTCATCTAACATTTGGAAATTCTTTGTGGTTCTTTAATATGCAGCTCTACATGCAAGTTGCCACATGAAACTTTTACAATTTTCTCTAAGTAAATATCTCACAGGTACTTCTCCTGATGATATTTGCTGGCCCTTGATGAATGGACAGCCTGCCTTCTCCCTGACTTCTGTGCCCACCAAAACAGGGTGGGAGCTGGAGGGTCAGAGCAGAATAATGAAGAGAGAGACAAAGAAAGCTCTGTAGACATGGACTTCAGAAGCGTTTAGCAAGAGGCCAAACCAGCACCCCTCAGCAGCTCCCGTGGGTCCTAGAGTAATAAATGCTGTTCCTAGTTTTCCAAATGAATTTATTTTCTTGCTTTTCTTCTTTACAATCACTTGGTGCCTACTGGGAATTGTAGCCTCTGTCTGACTGGGGGAGGGAGCAACTGCTTCACTTGTCCCAGAGCACAAATTTCCTTTTCTCATTGGAGCTGTCCTGCAGGGGTGAGCATTGCTTGCTCACAGTGCTGCACAGTGTTGAGTAACCTCCCTTCTTGCAGTGACTGTTTTTCAGTGCAAGATCCCAGAACTTTTATTTGTAACCACAAGTTGTATATAGAAAATTGGGGGTTGCATGAGAAACTCTGGTTCACAAGCTGGTACGGTTCTCCATTTGACAAACTCGGCTTCTCTGAACAACTGTGGCTCTGAGATTGGGGCAGTGAAAAAAGGAAGTTTTCTTATTATTGGGACAGAAGAAATGGTTCCTCCTGTGTGGGTCAGCTGAAGAGGAAGGACTGAATTTTGTGTCCGTGTGTGATTGAGATTGGAGAATGTGTACAGTATTGAGAAACTGTGTAAGCATCTATATGAGAGTGGGGAGTACATGCCTTTAGCAGACTTAGCAGACTTCAGCCCCCTATTTGAGGTCAGTTTCTTTTTTGGACGAGAGGTGATTCTCCATTGAAGTGCTAGTGTGTGCTGGACCGCCATGGGCTTTGGGACTGAAGCTTGTGGGAACAGTCTCTAGCGTTGTGAACATAGGATTTGGGATACTTACATGCACACGTATTTACTTGGAACTTACTTACTTGGAATTCATTCACGACTGTCAAATGGCATGAGAGAATAAGGGAATGGAAAGAAGGAACTGGTAACCAGTTTCACCATTGTCATGAGCAAACGTTTCTGAATGTCAGCACATGCATGCACAGGCATTCTCCTTGTTTCAGTTTCCTGTGTTATCGGAGGAAAATATTCTGTGGCTGGCTTATTCTTACTACTCTAAGGGGCAGTTCTTGAAGACTTTTAATTTCAGACTGAGCCAGATGCACAGTATTTTATACAACGCATAAGCTATAATATATTATGAAGCGTGTGGTAAATATATGTGTCAGTAGTGCAACTCAGATTGCTTAGTTCATGATAAAGACAAGTTGGGTTGGCTTGCAACATTTTTTCCAGATCAGTGTGTGTAATGAGATCTGGTGTGTACATGAATCTGCAGATTGTTTTTCACGAATAACTAGCGAAAATCTGTGGGTTTCTGTAGCAGAGGTTTAGTTGGCCCTTTTCTAATTGGCTTCTGTACAAACTGAAAATACTTAGATCTATAATTTGTAAATTTTATAGTTCTAACACTGATTTTAATATTTTCTCCCCTATCATAATCAAGAGGTTTTTATTGGCAATTGATCAGTAAACTAGCTTCAGTTAAATCAGAGGGAAAATAGAAAAACTTTGAGTTTGTGGTCTTGGGATGCAGCCTGCTCTGAAATGGAGAAAGTCAGAAGTGGGGTGCTGCGCAGGTGTTAAGCCTAGGCAGCTACAGTGGGGCAAAAAAGTATTTAGTCAGCCACCAATTGTGCAAGTTCTCCCACTTAAAAAGGTGAGAGAGGCCTGTAATTTTCATCATAGGTATACCTCAACTATGAGAGACAAAATGGGGGGTGAAAATCCAGAAAATCACATTGTCTGATTTTTAAAGAATTTATTTGCAAATCATGGTGGAAAATAAGTATTTGGTCACCTACAAACAAGCAAGATGTCTGGCTCTCACAGACCTGTAACTACTTCTTTAAGAGGCTCCTCTGTCCTCCACTCCTCCAAACACGAGTTGAGTTTAGACCAAAACGTTCTACTTTGGTTTTCCTCCAAACACGAGTTGAGTTTAGACCAAAACGTTCTACTTTGGTTTTCCTCCAAACACGAGTTGAGTTTAGACCAAAACGTTCTACTTTGGTTTTCCTCCAAACACGAGTTGAGTTTAGACCAAAACGTTCTACTTTGGTTTTCCTCCAAACACGAGTTGAGTTTAGACCAAAACGTTCTACTTTGGTTTTCCTCCAAACACGAGTTGAGTTTAGACCAAAACGTTCTACTTTGGTTTTCCTCCAAACACGAGTTGAGTTTAGACCAAAACGTTCTACTTTGGTTTTCCTCCAAACACGAGTTGAGTTTAGACCAAAACGTTCTACTTTGGTTTTGACCTCTGTCATTGCCAACAAAGGATATATAACAAAGTATTGAGATGAACTTTTGATATTGACCAAATACTTATTTTCCACCATGATTTGCAAATAAATTCTTTAAAAATCAGACAATGTGATTTTCTGGATTTTCACCCCCCATTTTGTCTCTCATAGTTGAGGTATACCTATGATGAAAATTACAGGCCTCTCTCATCTTTTTAAGTGGGAGAACTTGCACAACTGGTGGCTGACTAAATACTTTTTTGCCCCACTGTAGTACGTCAGCAGACATGTTATGCTTCCTAAAATAAACATCTGTTCATTAAAATTCTGGGCCTAAATGGCACCATGAAGCATTTTAATTTTTTACTCTCAGCATAAACTACAAGAAGTTCTGAGTGTAATAACAGTTTCAGAATATCGGTTATTGGGGCTTGTATGCTCTTCCAGTCAGCAGGATCCTGGACCGGATATGTAAGGTTTGTAGGAAAAGTCAATGGTGGGATTAGGATGTCCCAGTCTTCGCCAATCTCATATCTTCCCCATGTGTTGGGCTACAACTCCCACCAGGAAGGGGATGATTAAAATTATGGCCTTTCCCATGAGAGGAACATAAAATTGGAAATGGCTGGGTGTGGTTTATTGGGGCAGAGTGTTGAGTCAGCTGTAGACTTTCCTAGTGTATTCATTTCTAGGCAGATATGTTTAATATATGGTTGTTTATATGTGTCACTGAGAGAGCGAGATATATATATAGATACATATATTTATATACACATACTAGAGTTCTACAGTGCTTTGGATTAAGTTCAAAAAATTGTTTGGAGCATTTGGATGCACAAGAGTAGGACCTTTTTGGAATGGATCCAAAGTGTTGCATAGTACTAAAAGTCAGGCCCGATAGATAACTTATATAAATTACACTTAATGTTCAGATTGATTGCTATTTTCTTCTGAACACTTCCTTCTTGTTCAACACATGAGTACTAAGTACAATAACGTTTCTCTGGGGGAAAAAAACCAAAACAAACTAATAAAACATTAGCCCATGTGACCTACTAGTACACCCTGTATATCTCCTGCTATCAGGTTTTCCTAGCCTTTACACCCAAGGCTCATCCACGTGATCTTCCTCTCTTGCTTTTAATGACTGTCACATGAGGTTTCTTCAGTTGATCTTCCTTACTGAGTCACTGAATAGCCTATAAGTCAGAATTCTGTGCCACAGCGGTCATGAGCAACTCCCAGTTTATGATGAGGGGCTTGGAGAGACTCTCCCTTTGGGGCTGAGCATTTCATGGCAGTGTGGTGTTCTGATGCGCCTCTCCTCTTGCATTATTCTCCTATCTAGATTCATGGCTAGGATGTGGGTGCAATTCATAATATGCCTGGTATTGAGCAGGACAGCCTCTTCCTTGCAGTGCCCCAATGGGCAGAAATGTGAAGGATCTTCAACATGTTGCAAGGTCCCTGGAGGAGATGAGTATATCTGTTGCAACCAGCCTCAGGTAGGAACTCTTATGTTACTCTTTTGCTGAGGATGGGGCAGAAAATGGTTTCCTAAAAAGGCTGAAGCATTTCCACTAGCAAAGCTTGTGTTAATTGATTACATGACTAAAGCAACGTAAGGAAAAAAATGATTGAATATTGCTGTTTTAATAGTCAACTTTGTTACAGTGCATCCAGCTTTTCTAGAGTTGTTGCCACTTCCTGAAATAATATATTAGGCCTTGCAGTTTGCATAACATCTTGTGGGATGGGGAACAAAGTTGCCTGTCATGTTTTTGCCTCATCTTTTTTATTTATAGTTCACAGGAGCATCCCTGCGCATGTTGCCCCCAGAGAGCAGGAATGAGGTCTCTGGTGTTGTGTGTCCTGATGCCAACACGTGTCCAGTGAAACACTCCTGTCAGCTCAGCCTGAACGCCACCTTTGCCTGCTGTCCCTGGGAGGAGGTGAGCTTTGGAACCAAAAGGGGGATGAGGACTGGCAAGGATCAGAACACCTTTCACGTTTGGGGATGCTTAGCAGAGCAAGTTTAACTAATTTGCCCCACAGCTCCTAACTTGTTCTTGCCGACATGCCAGCCCTACTTTGCTGTGTGCTGAACTGAAATATAACAGGTAAAATGAAGAACTTTTACCACTCCAGTGGCCTCCAGATATAGTAGATTACAATTGCTATCCTTTACAGTCAATGTGTCCAGTGATCAAGCTAGCTGGGAATGTTGGATTCGGAGTCCTTAACGTCTGGAGCCCTATTAGATTGGAGAAACTGAGATAAATATTCTAATACAAGGCTGAGGATCCCGGACTCTTCAGACATTATTGGATCACTGCTCCTGTATATCCTAATTATTGGTCATGCTGGGGAGAGCAGGCAGTAACAATACAGTATCATTTTCTAGAGGACCATAGATTTCCCATCTCTTTCCGATTTGGATTTGATTCCTAACTGGAGGTTAAGAAGAAATGAAAAACTATAAGGTTAAAATGTTTTTGAGTTGTACAGACAGCTTTGGTGTCTTCAGAAGCTTTTCCTGACCCAGTCAGGGTTACAATACTGTTCAGCTGATGTTTTGCCAGGGTAGATGTGGTGGAGGGTTGCCAACCTCACAGTCCCAGCTGTAGTGTATTTAATGTAGCAATGGAGGCGAATATGTGTAGCTCAGGGTTGAGTTGTGGAGTCCTTGGGGCTCTCTGAGCTTGGTTCTTTTCTTGCAAACGTTTCATTACCCGGCTAGGTAACATCTTCAGTGTATTTAATGTTACCACCAAAGTACAGTGGGACCTCGGTTCACAAACTTAATTTGTTCCACGATTCTGGTTGCGAACCGAATCAAATTTCCCCATAAGGTTCAAT